TCGACCTTGGCGAAAGCTGGTCTGACCACCCACGCTCTTGTCAACACACTCAGTCGATAATCTGGTTTCGAATTCGCCTGGCATACGCTTGGTCGTCATGGTCGCTTCCGGTTTCTTGGCTCAACGTGGTTTCGTCCTACGTCTGCAGCGTTTTCTGGTCCGCATCCCTACGAACGCGATCATCAGATCCTGGATACAAACCACTCTGGTGTGGTATGCTACCTCGAGCAAAAAATATAGCACACTTCTCCTGGTACCGTTCTTCGCAAAAGACTTTCGTTGGCAACTCGAGGATCAACGATCGCTTCTTGTTTCGCCAATTCTTCCGTCCTACAACCGCACTTGTGCCGATCAGTCCCACGAATCAAACCGCTACCAATCGAAAGTGTAAACCCTTTCTAGCGGAGGGCTCCTGTAGTGACCTACTTTTGTCAACAGAACGCGATTGGTTCGATGAAAACAATTATTATTATAACCAATTGTACCAGTGATTGTTTTACTGTGCTCGTTTGTTTAACTGTTCTAATGACAGCCATTTTGGCCTTCCGTTGAACTTAATTACTTCTGCGCGGTTTGTGACTCTACGAACGTACTTTCACCTGCCAATCCCACTTGTACTCCTTTGGCACGGTCTCGGTATGCTTTCGATACCACGAGATCGCCGGCAAATATATCTCGACTGCAGCCATCATCTGTCTTCTGATATTGGCCTACGGTAATCTTATTGGTTACTGGCACGTAGCCTTCTTGTGGCGGTGTTCATAGTCAATCGCGACTCGACACCACGCTACAATTGCATCAAAGCACACTTTTTTGACTTTTACTTCATTAATTTAGTCAGGGTTTTAGTACTCTTTTACATATCCTGTTTGTATCACCATTGTATTTGGTTTTGAAGATGGCGAATCGGCTCATAAATGTGGATAACCATATTGCTTATTCCCCGTGGAGGAAGGGATGCAATGTGACGGTTGTAATAAGTGGTTCCACAACATGTGCACCCGACTAAGCCCCGCTGCATATAAAAGGTTCTCTAAGCCAAACTCCCATAGGATTTGTAGTTTTTGTTGCTCAAGCAAAACACCACTCATCCAGGAAGCCATTAGCCTCCTGGTGTTGGCTAATAAGAAGGTTGGTGATGGCTGTACTGACATTATTGGTGCTGATGGCGAAGATTGCGTTAGTGTCGTAAGGGCTGTCACGGCGCAAGTCAGACATCTAACTGTGCAACCCGAAATTCAAATTTTTACCCCAAAACAATCAATGAGTGACACCTCATTAGTTATTGGTGGCCATGTTGCAACAGCAGTAACTGGTGATCCAGATAAAACAATTACTGTCCCGAGCAGTTCTGACGTAGATGCTACGGCTGATGGAATATTGATGACGCGGAAACGCAGAAGAGTAGGAGAGACAGCTAAAAATAATGACCGTTTACTTGATAAGTCTTTGGTGGACTCTCAGACCACTCCTCCAAAGTCCCAAGTTAAAGCCTCTTCAAACATTGTTGTGAGTCACTCGCTCGACTCCAATGACTCTGTTACAATAAAAACTAATCGTAAGATACCAGTTGTTAATATACAGGATGTAAGGTCACGATCGATAGCTGTAAACACGATTCCAAAAGAGGCTAAACCACTCCCTAGCTTAATTATTTGGAATCTAGAGGAGTCGATAGACAACGACCCTGCTAAGAGACATGCACATGATCTAAAGTTAGTAGAATCCGTGGTAAGAAACCTACTACCTGTAGAGGTTTCAGGAGTACATATCACGAAAGTGATACGACTCGGTAAATTGGTTTGAGGCGAGACCCAACCAAGAAGGATCTTGAAGCTGGTTCTAGGGAGTTTTGAAGAAAGAGATATATTATTGAAAAACGCACAAAAAATCCGTGATTCAAATATTCGTATCCGACCAGATTGGCCGCTTGAGGATCGAATCAAGTGGAAGAATGCTCTTACGGAGTCGAGAACTCGCAAGTTAAATGGCGAAACTAACCTTACCATTAAGGGTTTTCGGGTGGTCAGGTCTTGGAAGTCAATGCTTCCGAGGCCTGTATGGGTAGAACAAATGATTACCAAAACACCTTATGTGTGTGCTACACGAACGCCCGTAGTCTTAGGAATATAACGTCCGAGCTAAGTCTGATGGTGGATGAATTAAGTCCCGATATAATTGTCATTACAGAAACTTGGTTCACCGTAGATATAGAATGTTCACTCATCATTGCAGACTATATCTGTATTAGAAGTGATAGGGTTTTAGGTCGCAAGGGGGGAGGCATAATATTATACATTAGGGATCACTTTCGTATACAACCAATCATATCGGAGGCTCATGTTAGTGGTACATGTGAGGTAGCATGTTGTAAGATTAAATCTAGAAATGGGTTAGTGACTATAGACGGAATATATCGTAGTCCGTTTTGTCTTGCTGACGGCTTTATCCTAAGACACATCTGTTCTTGAAGTATGTTAGAATGTTGCCTCATCATTGGTGACTTCAACGCACCGCACATAAACTGCATAGAGCTTACAGCTCCAGGTGGAGGTTTCGATAGCGGACTTTTATCAACCGTTATTCAGTGTGCACTTGTCCAATGTATCACTAAACCGACACATATTGGTTTGAAACGTGATCCGTCACTGCTGGACCTCGCCCTCACCCACCACTGTGAGGATGTCTTTGGTATTCAGCACCTTCCTCCACTAGTGAGCAGTGATCACGTTGTACTTCACTTTAAGTTTAGGACACATAGTATACGATTTGTATCTGCTCCACCCCGTCCCAATATCTAACGGGCTAATATTCCGGCAATCAGAGACTGTGCCATCTCGACTGATTGGTCGGTTGACGCAGATGGATCGATCGAAGACGAATGAAATAAGTTTAAGGCTACATTCGAGTCCGTAACGTCGCCGTTTATCTCATGGTCAGCACGTAAGCTATCGCATTGCCCTCCATGGATTAATAAGGAAACACGTAAGCTGTTAAAGCGTAGGAAACACTTCTGGGACTTATTCTTGTCGACAGGTCATGTATCCTTTAAGAGTGAGTACCGAAAACTCCGGAATATTTGTAAGAAAACAATAGCTAAATCCCGTACTACTTACGAACGACAGTTGGTATATGATAGTCGTACTTGTCCAAAACGATTGTTTTCGTATGTTAAACGGCAAATAAAACGTAGTGATAGTATTCCCCCATTATTGTTACACGATAATTCAGATTTACTAGCTGAATCAGATCGAGTCAAAGCTGAGACATTTTCAAACTATTTTAGCGAAGTCTACTCTACGTTTACTGTAACAAATACTTGTCTCAATCACACCGAGATACCAGCCATTGAATCTGTACAGGTGACTGAGGAAACTGCCCTTCCTTTGATAGGTGACCTCAAACCTTGTAAGATACCGGGTTCTGACGGGTTACATCCACGGCTGCTGTCATCTCTTGCGGACATTATTTCAAGACCGTTCGCGACACGCTTCAACATACCCCTTTCACTCGCTCAACTCCATGGGGATTGGAAAGATGCTGTTGACAGTCCTATATTTAAGGATGATCAGAGACAGATCGTATCTAACTACTGGTCTGTCAGTCTGACTAGCATTGTCGTTAAGTTACTTGAAAAGATAATTCGGGTTAGGCTGCTAAGCCACATAGATTCACACAATTTGTTAGCTCCTGAGCAACATGGGTTTCGTGACAAGCGTTCATGCTTGACTAACTTACTTATTGCGAGAGAGGATTGGACAGCAGCCTTAGATAAAGGTTTGTCTGTCGATGTTATATTCATAGATTTTAGCAAAGCATTTGACAAGGTTTCACACTTTGATCTTATGCAGAAGCTCACAAGCTTCGGAATAATAGGCACTGTACAGGAGCGGATAGGAAACTTCTTATGTGACCGCAAACAGAGAGTGAGGGTCAATGGGACGCTATCCGTTTGGAAGCCAGTCAAAAGTGGTTCACCCCAAAACACCATCTCAGGCCCTCTGCTCTTCCTTCTCTACGTAAATGCGTTACCGCTGTTGCTTAGGTCGTCGACATTATTATTTGCGGATGATGCCAAAATCTGGAGAACAATAAGAAGTGAGGCTGACCATCTGAATCTTCAAGCTGACTTAGACGATTTAGTTAGATGGGCTCGAGATTGGGGCTTAGAAATCAATTCTAGGAAGAGTGTTCTAATGCACATCGGTCACGGCAATAGTTACCATTATATTATTGATGGTAAACCTCTTCCATGCGTTCAAGAACATAAGTCATGACCTAAAAACAACTACGCATTGCAACGCAGCCACTGTCAAAGGTTTTCGTGCGTTGTGGTCACTTCGCCGAGCGTTCAAATCTTTTGACGAGGAAATGTTTCGAATTTTATATCCCACCTAAGTAAGACTACATTTAGAGTACTGTATCCAAGCGGCTAACCCATGTCTGGCAAAGGATACTAATTCAATTGAGCGTGTCCAGCATGTGGGGACGAAATTAGTGAAGAGTCTTTCTAAACTCCCTTACGATGAGCGTATAAAACGCCTAAACCTTTTCCCCTTGTCGTATCGTGAGACTCGAGGTGACCTTATACTGGCATTTCGTATCTTTAATTATGATTTGGGTGTTAATATGTCTTATCTTTTTGCTCCCTCCAGCACTAATAATCTCCGATGTCATAGCAAGAAGGTTCATAAACCACGATCTAATAAACTCAAGGTGGGGTTCCGTATTTCTCATCGAGTAGTCAATGATTGGAACGCTTTGCCCGATCAAGTGGTATCAGCCCCATCAGTTAATACTTTCAAGGAGAAACTGGACCTTCACTGGAATGCAATCTGTTATGACTAACACAGGTTCACCAATCTACTATCCTTATTACTGAAGACTGACTGAAAACTGAAGACGTTTGTTTGTATATTTCAGTACTTAAGGTCACATGAAATTTTGGTTTCTGTGCTAATTTAAGTCCTAAATCAGTCTTCCGTTACTTCGCTTTAAACATGGATAAAGTGCTAACGCTTGAAACTATCAATCCCAATATGATAAAAATAGAATATGCAGTACGTGGGCCAATCGTGGAACGTGCTCTTCAAATAGAAAAAGAACTCAAGAATGTAAGTATGATCCAGATATATTATAAACAATTTTAGGGTGATAAAAAATCCTTCAATGAAGTTGTCAAGTGCAATATTGGTGACTGTCACGCAACTGGCCAAAGATTCATAACGTTTGTACGTCAAGTCACTGCTCTGGCAACCTTTCCCTGTCTCCTCGAAGACAAGAGTTTTCCAGAGGACGCGAAATCAAGAGCTAAAGATTTGCTAGCAGCTTGTTCTGGTTCTAGTATCGGTATGCACAACTACTATATTGTTTCCCGAATCATATTTACTTTTTGTATTCACGTTAATCCTTATTTATCTAAGTTCATCAAGTTTATTCAACATTTTTGTAACCTGGTTTAGAAGCAACGCACATGTTACCGAGTAGTTGAGGTCGGTGGTATCTTAATACTGTTGACGGTACCACTTGTCTATGAGATCAGTTATTCATGGCCGGCTGTTATCTAGGTGGAATCGCATTTCCTCTGTCATTTGTAGTTAGAAGAGCCACTTTCGTAAGCTTGAAAGAGATGTATTATTTCTTTATTTGATTATTCAGCTTTAAGCTGTTCCGGATGCATTATATATTGTATTAACTTTGCTGTCACATCAGCTGGATTTAAAATAGAAAAATCACTCAGTGTATGTTACCAACCTTCAGTACTGAAGGTAATTATTCCACTTAAAACCACATGTGGTTTAATTTTCACGACGTGAGATTCAGGTCTTGTCATGCTACTAAGGCCTATCGGTGTAGCCGTTTGGTAATAAGTAATGTAAGTGGTTTAAGTGCTGCTTGATTATGCTTCTACCCAGGTAGTACTCTAAAAACTAGATTTTGTTTCTCACTCGCACCGATTCATTTATTATCATGCAATGCATTCACTACACAGTAGTATTTGCGGTTAAATGTTTCACCCGTTTCTTGATTTCAGGTTCTTACAGTCACTCTCTGGGGCTGGAGGTAGTCCGTAAAGATGTAGCAAAGTATATACATCAGCGCGATGGTATTGAGTCTAACTGGGAGAATATTTTTTTAGCTTGCGGGGCTACAGAGGCTGTAAAGGTATTTTACTTGCGATTATGATATAACATGTTTTTGGGTTGTATGTCCTCCTTTATTAGACGAAAATATTATTGATCATGGATCGAGCTGTCTCAATATTTGCCTCAACTGAGTCAATCTTAAGAGAGATGGTACTAAAAATACTCTACTTCTTGTGCATTTTTCTTACGAATTTTAAAAAGTATGCTAAATTCTGTAGATAGAATTCATAGTATAAGATTATTTAACAGGTGGTTTTACAAAATTCACTCTAAATGCTCAAAGATTTTCAAAAATTTTCACCACAAAGTTCAAACAGACGTTAGTAACAGTTGAAAGCCAATTATATAAAGGTGTCTACTTATAGTGCTACTACTTAGAAATAGCATAAAATATGTCAAAAAGGTAAGGGAGGAAGGGAAGAGCTAAGTAGGCTGAAAACGAGCAAGTTAAGTATTGTTGCTTTACAAACTCATAAAATAATAAATTAATGAGTAATAAGACAATAGGACTATGTTACTTTCCTTCACAATGACGTTTCACTGAGTTTTAGTTCATTTTTTACCCGATCGTTCTAATACACATAATCGATGCATTAAAGGCTAATCACGGGCATAAAAAGAGATTGTCGACTGTGCAGTAACAGATGCGCAACTTACCAGATTTCTTATCGAGATTTTGAATGACTGATGACTCTTAAATACCAAAGAAATTTCAAGATATACTGTTGTATAGATATGAAATCAGGTCATATTTCCCTGCAAATCTTGACTTATTGCTAAGAGTTTATGATTCCTGATCGTTGATATTCAGGATTGTAATTAGTCAGCTCAGGTTTTCATTCGTGCATTCTGTGAGTTTTGCCAGAATATACCTGGTTCTGGAATCCTTTGTAAAAATATGGTTATTACACTGTTAACTTTGTAAATCTGTGAAGATTTAGTTTATTTTTATAATCAGTCAATTGATAACACGCAACAAAACCACGATTAAACTGACACATGGCACAAATAACCGTGTGGTAAATTTTCGACGGCATATGTTTGTCTATTTATTTTATATATGGTAAATATGGTTATTTTAGTGGATTTTGATTGACTTACGCATTTTCGTGAAATTTTAGATGTTACTGGAAATGATATCTACAAGCGGTCGAGACAGTGAACGCGCAGGTGTTATGATTCCAATACCACAATATCCTTTGTATTCAGCTACGAATTCCGAATACAATAACTTTCAGGTTGGTTGGTGACTCTTATTGTTGCTTTTAATCAATTAAACGGCGAGTTTTCTCGTTAATTCTTATTATGTAGTAGTGAATTGTAGCCACATTATCATTTTAGCATAAATTGGGTTCGTATAGGTTTTCTGAATCAGGAACTCACCAAGTTTTGAAAGTCGAATAAATTCTTTAAACTTTGAGTCACTGAAAATTATGTTTTATGGCATTTTTAAGCTTGCTGATGCTAAACTTGAAAAGTAACTTCAGTTATGTATTCAAAGTTAAGATGTTTAAAATTCGCCTCTGGTCGCAATCATGGATTATTTTTCTATCTATTATCAAATTGTATTTATAGAGACAAAGAAACATGGGTGCAAAGACTATCAATCTTATAATAAAAACAACCACTTCAGGTTTACATCTGCCTACCATTTTGAGTTTTTTCCTTAATTATTTTACAACTTTTGTTTTAGATTAACTACTACTTAGATGAAAGTGACAACTGGTCCTTATCTGCCAATGAATTGAAACGAGCACTAACGAGTGTCAAAGGACAATGCATACCAAAAGCCATAGTTGTAATTAATCCAGGAAATCCAACGGGTCAAGTGCTTCCGCAAAAATGTATGGAAGATATTATTAAATTTGCAGTTGAGAACCGACTGATTTTGATAGCTGATGAAGTTTACCAGCAGAATGTTTACCAGCCGGACAAGTATCCATGGGTTAGTTTTAAAAAAGTTTTATTCAATATGGGACCAAGTTACTCAAGAAAACTGGAATTGGCCTCACTCATGTCCTGTAGTAAGGGTTACATGGGAGAGTAAGTCGGTTGTTATGAGATTTTTGACAAATAATTAAATACTTATCCTTGTATCCTTCTTTGTGTTTTGTTCACTATCGTCCTCCCTTTCTAGAGGTCTTCATTCTCTATTTGACAATGTATACTAATGTTCCACATTTATAAAACATTTTTATATTGATTTAAAGCAAAATGTTGGGTTACTCTGAGATCGTTTTCATTGTGAAGACGTTTAGTACTCATATACTTTCAACCAAGTTGGTCTGTCACAAATATCAGAGCACTGCTTACGTTGACGTCCTGTGCTAATACCTAAAATTAAGCTAAACAAACACTAACAGTGGCGTTAGTCAGTTGAGTTACTTATAGTCCGTCTGAGGATTGGGCAAACCTTTTTGATAGTACTGTTGTGATGTTTTGAGTAGGTCGCGTTAAACCCCACATAACACTGGTAACTCTCAACTGCAACGAATCAAAAGCAACCACTAACTTCGTTAAATTGTTGAACCCTATACAATAAAAGACATGGTAACGGCTATGTTGGAGCTGAACTGTACCAATAAAAAAGCTGGGGATAAGCGATAGTAGTGGTTATTAAGTCACAGAGATGAAGTCGGATGAGGATTGTTTACTATTTCTTACACGCATGATAGGTTATTAGACTAGTTCAGTTATGTCTTGAAAGTAGATATTGTTACACAGCTTGACGAGCGTCGTCGTCGAATAATTCATCATAGTAAAAGAAGACGGGTAGTGTGTTTCACTGGTGAATTAAACTTAAAGAAGATAATCTTACTATAATCAATTAGTTATAATGTCTCAAATGCATGCTTTGTGGTGAGACAGTTCCTTTGAGTTTGTTAAGGCTCGTTTAACGATTTTATTTTAATTTAGACATGTATCTTTTTGCAAGCTCTTCTCTGATTAACTATTATTCATGAAGTGTTTATACGTATGTAAGGACATTACAGAAAAAACACCTCCCTAATGCTCATTGTGAGACAACTCATATCAAAACCATTAATGTCAGATGGTTGCTCAAGTAGGTCTTCTAAACCAGAGTAGCTAAAAATGTGATTTAGTTTACCCCATATTGATATTGGTTGATTGGATATTCCATATGGTTTGTCATGTTGTTAATCGTTTTTGGAACAATTTACTGTTTAGATATTTCTGTCTATTCTAGATGTGGATATCGCGGTGGATATTGTGAATTATTAAATTTCGATCAAGCTGTCCAAGCTCAGCTTTACAAAGCCCTTTCAGCACGATTATGTCCACCTCTAATGGGACAGGTATAGTACTTCATAGATTTTCTGTTTAATTTAGTTTACAGCAATTCTTATGACTGATTGTGCTTTTTCGTTAAGAGTTAATTCAAATGATTATAATATTCATGAATTAGTTGGCGACTGATTATATTACTTAGTAACTTACGCCTGTCACTACCACTCGTGGAGGAGCATAGGTCGCCCACCAGCATTCTCCATCTAACTCTGTGCTGGGTTCTCCTTTCGAGGTAGTTCCAGCGGTTATTCATCTTTTTGATGTCTGCTTACAATTTTCAACGCAGTGTGGTTCTTGGTCATCCTCTTTCTCGTTTTCCTTCAGGATTTCAAGTTAGTGCTTGCCTCATGATATCATTAATGTATCTCGTATAAACTTTCAGCATCTTTTCTTAATTTCCCCTCCAGTTTGAGGTTGGTTTGTTCTCTCTCACATTAGGCTGTGGCTGATATTATCCGGTCAACGGACATTAGGTATCTTGCCAAACAGTTGTTTATAAATGCTTGTACCTTTTTGATGATGGGTGTAGTAGTTCTCCGAGTTTCAGCTCCCTACAGTAGGACTGTCTTGACGTTCGTATCGAAGATTCTGACATTGATATTGGTTGACAACTCTTTCGATTTCCATATGTTCTGCAACTGTATGAATTCTGCTCTTGCTTTGCCAATCCTCGCCTTTACGTCTGCATCATATTCTCCACGTTCATCGTTGATGCTGTCCAGGTACATGAAAGATTTCACCTCTTCCAGAGCTTCTCCATCAAGTATGATTGGGTTGGTGTTCTTCGTGTTGTATTTTAGGATATTCTTTTTTCCTTTGTGTATGTTGAGGCTTACTGATGCAAAGGTGACTGATTATATAGCATGTATAAATTAGTAGCGCGGTTAATAATGTTATAATTAATATCTCCATATAAGTTTACCCATTAGTTCCATTCACTTATTAGCTTTATTTTGGCCATACAGTTTTTATACTTGATGTAGTTTCCAATATCAAGAATTAAAGTCTTTACATTTAGACCAAGTTGCCCAAACGGAATATGTATTTGAAACGTTATTTTATTATCATTAAACAACCAATATATAACTGCGAACTTGAGAGGCTTATCCGAATTTGTCGACTACAACTATCAGAGTTCATTTTACTGTCAAATCTCTAATTTAGAACCTATATCATGCCAAAACCTTACGTGTAAGTTCAAGCTTACCAATCAGGGATAATAATTTATCCACTAAACTAGGTAACGCTAGGATTACGAATTCATATCGATTCATCCCAAACATTTAACGTCGAACCATATTACTTCTGTTGGGCCAACCTGGTTAATTAATAGAATTTGAATCTTAACGAAATACTAGCAACAATGAATCGAAGCTTATTATTGGAGAAGTATCATTATTAACTTGTAAAACCGACCCCTTTCTGTCTAATACATATACCGTCGGTGCTTATTTCCATAAGAGACATTGAATGTGGATTTCGTGTAGTATATCAAATATCCTCCTATATACTAATTACTTTGCTTCTGTATGGTACATTTATTTTTGCTTTTGGTGCTTTCACAGCACCGTCACATATACTCGAGTTCGTACACGTTTAAGTTTATTAAACCCTTTAATTAACCTACTAAATAAACAGTGTCATTCATTCCAATAAATGACCAGTGTATCATGTTTTTTCCTCATTTATGTCACTTTTCTATGAATGCCCAACAATTTCATTAGTGTCATTTTATCTTTCATGTTTTCGTGCAAAACAAAATTACTTAGGTAGCATTAGAAGCAATCGTGAATCCGCCTAAACCAGGTGAACCATCATATTCCTTATTTGTCAGAGAACGAGATGATGTATTAAGTGCATTGAAACATAAAGCTGATATCACCTATAGTGCACTGAATTCAGTGCCAAATATGTCATGTAATCCTGTTCAAGGTGCAATGTATGCCTTTCCACGCATACATTTACCACCAAATGCTATTCAAGAAGCTAAAGTAGGTTTAATTAAATACTAATAGTTGAGACTTGTATCGTTTTTACCATGTTTTTTCATTTATAGCTGATACATTTGCCTACCTTGAAGTTATATTTGTTTACGGAAAACTAGAGATATCACTCACTACCCAACTCTCTAAACTTAAATTTACCAAGCTTTGAACACATAACCCAGTGATTAAAAATTCAATTGCCTAAACTATTGAAGATTACTTTCATCGTTTCGTTTGAGATAAACATTTTTCTCTTTAAATTCATTTTGTATTGTTTGTTTGGATCTTCCTATTGATATTTAGGACTGCAATTGGTCAGTCTCCTATTAACATATATGCATCCTGTGCGAATTTCCTCGATATTGCCTTAAGTCCCAATCATTCTCTTTGTATAACTAACATTTTTCGTAGATTTTACCGTCATTAGATATGAATGCTTAGATACCCTAATTTTGAAACATTTATGTCAGGTCAGTTAGCAAGCAGAACTGTTGCGATCATGCAGACTTAGGTGCAAACATGGATAAGTTTTATGTCGTTAGAACCAGTCGACAGTAAACCCTAAACTACTGAGTTGTAAGTTTTTTTTAGGGAAAGCACTTTACACCTAGTAAAAACAGTCATAATTTGACAATCACAAACAAACTGAAATTACATTTTCATAAAATAACGTTCGATTACTGTGTGTTAAGTATGTTAACGTATCTGAAAGCAAACTACTACAATTTTGTGACGTTGTGTTTTTACTTCGATGAATCCATTATTATTAGAATGGGGGTTTGTGGAGATTGTAGTGATTTTAATAGTTGAATTCATGAGCCTAGCTTACATCGACTCATGAGTTCAACCATTTAAAAATTCATTATTCACTGTGATAAAGGTTACCATACAAGTGTAAACTGTCTGGGTCATTTGAAGACCATAGTGTCTCTTGTAACGTACAGTCTTTTAGCTTAACACGGTCTACCTCTTAGATTAACTCACAAAGAAACTACCATAGAGATAAATTTATATTTTCTATCCCCTTAAACTAGCTATAAGGCTATCAATGATAAAATGTCTTCGTTAAAATTAATTTGGCATTCATTGCCCAAAATTTTCTTTTCGTTTTACCAAAAAAGTAATATGAGTAATTCACAATTGTCAATTACAGAGAAGAGGAGAAGCACCAGATTTCTTCTATTGTTTACAACTGTTAGAGGAAAAAGGTGTATGTGTAGTTCCCGGTTCTGGTTTCGGGCAGCAAGAAGGGACGTATCATTTCAGGTAAATAATACATTTGTAAAAATATCATTTCGGTGGTATATATATATATATATATATATATATATATATATATATATATATATATATATATATAAGGAAACAGTAAAATATCTCTCATTTAATCTTCATACATTTTCAAGCTCCTGTAAATTAATCGTATCGAAATTCGAGTTCAGTATGTTTAAATGTAAAATAGTTAAATTCATCTGAGCAAATAATATTCTATCAGGACTGTTTCTTTTCGTTCGACTGTAAGACTGTTCCAATTAAGAATGATAGCCTAGTGGTCAAAACAGTGGAATTTAAACCACTGCGTTAGATTTTATTTTTTCTCAGTACCAAAATCTATCACCAGTTGAATAGCTGAACCACTACCCCACACACAAATAGTATGGCCTGAAGCTGAGTACCTAAGTTTCCATTGGTTAATGTGAAGTTCTGCCATAGTGAGTGTATTATTTAGTTTTCAACCACTGAGTCACAGCTTCAATTCCCTTTTCATCTACTTCGGTTTGGCCAACCAATAGACCTCATGCTCGTAACCAACTATATAAACACGAAGTTGTCATACAGCACTTTAAAAGTTCTTTCAGCTTAGTGAATGACTGTTTTCATCTTGAATAAGATTGATGGTATATTCATCTCAATTGAATCCATGGTGAATTAGAATCCATAATCTCTTAATCATTCCTACTCTTTTTGTACAATAACTCTCGGTTTGCATTTTTAATAAATCGCCAAGCTTATTACCTATGATATGATTTACTTCAATTAACTATCTTTATGCACCTCGATTCAGCTCTGATATGTAGTATCTTAGTGGTGAATTTTATATCATTATGGCATTAGTGTATAGGATCAATTTGAATTCTTTCCTTCAACTAGATAATAAAGTCCAGAACTACTATAACTGATGTGATATGTTTATGTACATAACTTTTAACCATCCATCTATCAAAATTGAAATAGTTTAAGCGATGTCCTAACCTGTGATCAAACAAATTAAATTCAATCACTTTTATTCTATTAAATTTCAATACATCAGTTTTATGAAGTTTGTTGTGATTATTACACCTTTTATGTAGTTTTGGAAACAATGTGAAAAATTAATGAATACAATACAGAATATTACTTGTGTAAAAAATAAAGAAAAAAAAACACTTTATAAAATACTTCAGTTTCATGTTTCGTAATATTAGCAAACTATTTTGTTTATATTTATTATTTGAAAAAAATGAATGATCATTTCAATCGGATCAATGTGACGTGAACATATTTTGTACATTTTCAAAATGTTGCTAATTAATTAATGAATTCATTCATTCACTCATTTTATATTACTAACGTCGTATAAATAAAAGCTGCTTTTCATTTTGTTTATGATTAACAAACCATTATGATAGTTTTATAATTAAAAAAAATTTTTTTCCCTGCTTTTCATATTTAAACGTTTTGATAAATATAATATAACTCGCTTATTTGTTTTAACTTACCTAATCTATATGTGTATTTTATTCTAACACTGATTATAAATTGTATATCAACTTGGTTCATATATATTATGATCATGTAAACTATTTAAAAATTATTTAAAGTAATATGATCTTTGTATGGTAAGTACCATATAGTTATCCCTGTAAACAAATCATACTAAATTGGTGGTTGTTTTGTTTTGTTTAACAAGGCTAATTTAGTTGAATAAATTTCCGAAATATCATTGGATATAGTCATAATATGTTAATAGTTGATTAGTGCTTATTGTAAGATAAATTTTTATAATTAAACAGTTCTTAAAATGTAAACGGTAATTAGATTAAATTTATATTATTTTCAGAAGGGGGTTTTGTGGAGATTTTAGTAATTTCAATAGTTGAAATCATGATTCAATTGAAGCTAGACCACCATAGGAAAACCTAGAAACACTGGATGGCCGTTTTGTCCCAGTGTGGGACTCCTCAGAAGTGCGCATCCACGATCCCACCCCGCGAGATTCGAACTCAGGACCTATCGGTCTCGCGCACGAGTGCTTAGCCACTAGACCAATGAGCCGACATCCAACGGTGTTAATGTTTAACTCCAACCAATCCACGAAATTGCGCGGATCGTGGATGCGCACTACTGAGGAGTCCCATACTAGGACTAAACGGCCGTCGAGTGCTTCCAGGTTTTCCATGGTGGTTTAGCTTCAATTGACTCATGATTTCAACCATTGAAATTTATATTATTTGCATGATGTAGTACATGATATCTAGTGGCATTAATTTTAGTAGACATGCTTAGTTAATAATCTATTTTATTTTTTGGGGGGGAAATCTACGAAACACTTATTAGGTTATGTGCAACTTAAACTTTTATACAATTTCGTAAATAGATACAGATCAAGTATTCATTTTATGGTATATAATAGATGTACAGGTAATAACTCGTCAATTATTGTTATTATTTTATTTGAACACATAAGCATTGGTACAATAGAGCACCAAATACATTTGCGCTACACAATACAATGAGGCCAGTAGTAGTTATCACTGGTTTGTGTGAAGTCTGTGATACTGCCGGGGCGCCCAGATCGAAGCAAGTGGTTTTCTTGGGGGGCTACACCCAGAGCCTTTGACCTAAAGGTCTGATCCATAAAGCAGTGGAGCAACATCAGGAGATGCAGTGCCATGGTAGCCGGTGACCCATAATTGGTTCATACGCCTATGTGCACCATTGTTTTGGAATAAGGGTTTTCCAACTCCCCTAGGTAGATCCTCCATATCCACCAGCCCGGTTAAAGCGCCGGACATTCGCTTTTCGTCCTCCCCCGCCACAAGAAAACACTGAGTAGGACTTCCCTAGTAGTGGCTGTATACGCGTGGTCATGTGAGAAAATTTGGAGAGCGAGAGCGAACTTTCTGTACCCTTGGCCGTACCAGGGCATTTGGGGGCATAACTAGTGATACGAACCTTTGGAATTTAAACTAAAGGAATTATTATCAACTCATTATCAAGTACTGGTCTGTATACATGGCTTCAAGTCATATTTCAAGCGAAAGGTTAGTGACACTACTCGGTTATATTCTCCTGTTTAATATATTCACATTATTACTAATAAAAATAATTCACGTTGTATATAAAATCATGAATTCACAAAGTTTATGTTTTGTTTTTATTTATTTCTACACAGAACTACTATTTTACCGTCTGTTGAGAAGATGAAATATGTTATGAAACAAATTGAAGAGTTTCATATATCATTTATGAAAAAATATTCTTAATTCTATATTATAAATAACAATAATAAATTAGTTAGAAAAGATACATTAATCAAGGCTATCATTCAGATTAGTCATGTATCCATAACTTTTTGTTCATTTATGAGTGGGTTTAAACCTGTACCCATTTATCCTATTTTTAATAACTTAATATTCTGCTAACTATTAAACTTTATTATAACCATAATGTATGTATGCATATACTGAAATTATGTACATGCAAATTAAATACCAATTTACATAAATTCGATTATATATGAACAATTTCCAATAACTTCACTCACATTCTGTTGTTTATTATAATTGTTTTTAATTTTTCGAAATATATTTAGTTAACAAGATGAAAGATTATTGTTTTACTTGATATTCAGTATCAGTTATTTATTAGAATTACAGGATACTTCAATAATCTATTTAACTCTAAAGAGATATAATACACATTAGTGATTTGAGGAGCTAGTTGGAAACTGGTCATGTTGACGGTATCAATAAACAAAGAACTTATGTTCAGAACTATTACTGTCTCTGAAACATTTATCCGATATTTTGCTCGTTATTACTTAATTAGCTGCAACAAATAAGTTTTATTACTCGTTGATGATTTATCGCAAGGATGCTTTGAGGTCATTAATTTTTCCTTGTAAAGCGACAGAAGTATAAATGGAATAAAATCAGAAATTATAATACCCATTGAATCATAACAGAATTTTTTAGTTGGTGAAATCAGAACCTAGGAAGACATGTTTATTTAGTGGTTATATGTCGATAATTAAATAAGAGGTATTTGAAAATGAGGTCGTCTTCTCTTTTTTTAATGTAATCTCACCAATGACCTATTCGGACGGAGAGTGATTACATTGATTGCTCAGTGAGTAATCATCCATTCGTCTAATTTTTTGAGCTGACCTATTTCCTTCAATCAAAATGTATTACAACCATTCGACTGAATAACTGGACATTGCATATAGCATGTCTTGTTGATAGGTATGGTAGGCAGAGATATTATTGAGATCGTAAATACATTTTGTTAATGAATCTCAACTACCAAAAACATAAGTCCATGGTTCTCTATCGATCACGTCCAACTGACTACGAATAAAAAAGTGTATGAACAATACAACGCAAATGGAAAAGTCTGCCATAGCCTAAGTGACTAAACAGAAGTCGTTTATTAAATAGTTGTAGCTTTATCCATGATTTTGAGCTCCTCAATTAGTTTAAATTATTTTGTGCTTGGGAATAACCTTGTGTGGATATGGTCCTGATGCAAGCTGAAGCGAATCAAACTGCTGCGTGCTACTGAGATACAAAATGTGGATTGTGGAGGTTTCAACGAATCTGTAGGGATGGTTTGAACTTTATTATTTCTTTAGGTGCGATGAGATTTTGGTTGGCTGGTTTTTGATAAAAACCATTTTAAATGATCCTTAGCGATAGAACCAACGTTGTTTATTTGCATTTACAATATTCTAATCTTTATGTGTATATAACCCTCAGCAGTAATCCTTTGTATTAGGTTGACTTTGTGTTAACTGCGAGCCCTCATAATCATTGAAAAGGTCTTTTATAACCGTTGCTATCAAATGCTACTGGCTCATCACCTCCAGGTATATATTTCGTCGCTATATATCGATTCTAAATGTCGTCATTTTTGGATGTGACACAGGGGTTCAGTTTGCCAGAATCATAGGTTCAATTCATGAATTCGTAGATATTCAACTATGCATGACAGGTTAGTTTAAATATGTTAGTCGAATGGTTATTCGCACTTATCCTTATTTTATTCAACATGGATGTAACATGTCACTGGGAAATAACAGTGAAACATATGAGCGACCTACAGAACTAAGGATTGACTAAAATATTTCTAAGACCTTAGGTTACATTCAGATGGATGACTATAATTTAGAAAACGGTATCTGAACTTATTTCTGAAAATGTCTTAATAGCATTCAAAAATGTTTAACAAACATTTCGTCGTTCGTAATCTATGGTAAATAAGAATGGTAGACTTGAATTTATGAACTAGTAATTTTCAGGACTATACAGTACATACTCTAGTAATCACGAATGGAACACCAATCAAGTCAGAAAGAATACAGTGAACACACCTAAAGATATTATATTGTAATTCTAATTACGCACGTAACAATTTGAAAAGTTTTCACCATTATATACAAACACCACAAATTCAGAATTCGTACATGGCTTTGGATCTGGATAACGGGTGAGACCTGGTCATTAACATATCCAATACCATGAGTCCACTTATGAGTATTTCGAAGACGGAACTACGTGTTCGCTTTTGTGGAATTTTCGTAACTGTTATATATATTAGTTTTCGTAAAGTCAAAACTTATAGGTTTAAGAACCTCTTTTCTCCCTTGTAACAAGTGTTCGTTTTATGGCTGGAATAAGTTCCAAGATGAAAGTGTCTTTAGATTAATTTTGTGGCCACCACGTGACAGATTTATGTCCATAAATCACGACAGTAGGTGAGGAACTCATACTGATAATAAAGTTACTGTGATGTCCTCATTTAGTAATGGCTTCTTTGTAAATTATTCCGCGCCTGATTCAAATTCCAAATACAAAACATTCGATTGTTTTCAAGGTGTTCTTTTTGACGTGAATGCTGGTCCACACGTAACTACTAGATTACGAATCGGACAGTCCTGAGAGTTACTAGTTAGCAAACCAAATTCAACCACTCGTAGTTTTTACAGATACGTTATATTGACGGTGATCAATGTTGTTGCTAAGGTGCTCTTAAAATTGCAAAGAAATCTATTCTCAAACTTGGAGATTTATCGAATCAACAATGATTGTGTGGACTGCTTTAAAACAGGGAACCGAAAGTTAGCGCATTATGAAAAAGGCTTTCAAGGAATATAGAAGCAATAGGCTAGAGGACTGTGCTGGTCATCTAACTCTGGTGGATTATTAATCTTGCAATTATATATCCGAGATTTAACTTTGCAAACATTTTTCAGGCAACACTGATTGTATTTAACACCATAAATGCCCTATGTAAGAAGTCTGATTAGGAATATTTTGAAAAGTGCTGTATTTCCTACACACCGATTCATCAGACCAGTTGTAAAGCATACAGTGTTTGTAGATAATGAGATTTGTATGTGGTGTATGACATATGACGGACGGAATGACGACAAAAGATCAATTGTTTTTTAACCCACTGGAGTTGACAGTGCCCTTTATTATTTATGGTAAGCTGATGTTTTTGGAGATATTTAAAAGTAAGCTTTGATGAAATGAACTGCTTGATGACAAGTTGATCCGTTGTAGAAAAGAACTAATAAGTCCTCTGGTTTCATCATCCTAACAGTTAAGACGTTTCCGACAATTCTTAGTAAAATATCCGGTGATAGGTTTTCCTTTTCCTGTGGATATGATCCTCAGTAATATCCCTTTGTGTTTTGTTGACTATTGTATTAATCATAAATGAAGGTGGTCCTCTCATAATAATTAAAACGTAGCTTTATAACCAATGTGCTTATTGACTTCACTCATTTACGTCATATTTGACGGTTATATTTTTGTGTTTATGAATAATTTTCGAGAAGACAAGTATACATTCATTTTGATTTTCATAATGTAACAGTAATATAAATTAATTTCTTGACTTTTCCTATGGTAATACTTAATCTTGAACAACTGATATAGAGATTCTCTTCTGTGATACTCAATAAAGTAAATTATTGCCATTCATACACTAATGCCTCAATTATAAATACTTTATCCTGGTAGGCATCTCAATTAGCTTATATTGTCAAAAAAAACTCATGCGGTAACAACTTAGAAGCTATAAATATTTACACTGATGATTGTATTTTTGTAGGACTATTCATAATTCCCCGGCTTTAAATATGGGTATTAACCGTTGAATAATCATTAAAGTCACACAAAAAATATATATGGATATGAATTCATTTCGTTAAACTGATCGTTATCTGCCATTGGTTTTTGTCTTTTTCATTTAGTTGTAAACAAACTCAATAATTCTTCTTAGAGGTATCAGTTGTCACTGTTACAATGACATAATTCACAAATCCTTAAGCAAATAAGAATATGGTTTTAATTTGCATTGAATCAGTGACGTCGGTATTGTACTTTAAGAATAGATAATTTAACTATCAATCATCTCACTTCCAAATTATTCAGTTACTCGATTTCATATCCAAGTATTTTCCGTAGATGTAAGAAAACCTTTAAATGATGTTATTTAGTCAAAGCAATAATCATTGGTGTATTGAAAATATTTCAGAAACGATCAATTAGTTTTAACCTAAAGAAATCGATATAAGCAGTACTTTCATCATTGCTCGATAAGACACTAGTTAACTTAGTAAAAAAAGCATGTTTTTATAAACTACAAAAGCACTTCATATTAATCATTCACTATTAAAAACGTAATATTTCATCATTATTTTGTGCTTGTTCACTAAATCATATCTTAAGATTGTATGTAACCAAGTTCCTCTTGTTCATGTTTTTTTAAAACCAAAACCCAATTAGTGTATTCTAAACAGAGAAGACTTCGATTATTTGATCGTCAATAGTTTTATAATCTAATGTTTTTAGATCATTTTGATTTTATCTTTCTGATAATACATATACTCTGTTCAGATTTGGATGGTGTCCAGGAGCGAAATTTATGACACGCGTTTCGTCTTACTTGGGACTCGTTAGCCGGATGTACATACATCCTAGAGTTGATTCACATTCCATGATTCAAACCCAATACCGTTCGCTTAAATTTCTATCGAGTCATTCAGTTTGCTACTAAGTCCAAATAGCCGATGGTGCATTCAACAGACGAGTTGAAAAGATGACGATGATGATTCCAAATTCATATTAATTAGTTTAAGCAAAGTATTTCAACTAAAGTTGTTCGACCATTTTACATGTTCAATAAATTTTCTATATCCAGCACTTCGTCATTAATCAATTAATCATTGGGTGAATGTTACAAACAAGAACTC